TAAAAATACCTGAACAGTCTATCTAAGAATAAAAATCTCTAAGGCACAGAAAAGATTATGAAATCGATTAACTCACTGCTTCTCAATTTGTGGCAACTTGTACTAACTAAACAATTTAATAAAGCGAGAGAGAAGGATATTCCACAAGGAAATCTTAAATCGAAAACTTCGAAAATCAAAAATTCTTTCCTGTTAATCTAACATTCGAGCGGGTATTTTGGATATTACATGCTACTCTCTATTAGAACGTTTAAATATTTTGAATTGTTGAATATTAGGTCGCATTTCGAATATCTTTTATATATTAAATTGAATTATAATATTAATTGTTGTCCTTATAATAAAAAAAGTAAACGTACATTGAAATCTTCATTTTCATGTTTCTTTCCCTTAATTTTTTTTGTGTGTGAATGTGATCAATCACTTGGGAGTTGGCTACAATTCGCGTAATACGATAAAGAAAGATGTAACGGCCTAGTGAGTATGTGCCCATTAGTGGCCGGTAAGGGCTATGTCTTTATCAATTGAGCATTTACTATAGTTACGATTAAATAAAAGTGTTATGTAACAGTAATGGAACAATGAATGGTTTCAATCAATTTTCGATATGCCATATATTCGTTGTGATTATCACACCTTAATTACCAAATATATGGATTTAACATCATTAGGAAGTGTAATAGTTTCTTAGCGGTGATTACTTTTTAATTCAGAAACCAAAGCATATGAACTTTTTCCGAACTTTCGAGTTTTCCAAAGATTTCTGATTCTTACGCATTCGTGCAAATGTTTAGAAATAATTTTTATTATCATTCAGTGTATAAGAAACTTATAGATATTTGTTGTTTTAAATCTAACCTTCAATCTATTTGGCTTAATAAATTCATTATAAAAAAGGAGGAAAAACAAATATAAAACCCAAAACAAAAACACTAACAGTGCGCGGACTACATTGTGTAAATGAAAAGTGCTCTGACAATCAGTAGAAAAAAAATTTCCGTTTAAATTAATTGATATTGACGACAACTGTACCATCACTACAATCAGCCAGTCAGCCAGCGAATCAGTCAGCCAACCAGCCAGGCAAGCAGGAACGAAAGGCATGGTAGTCAGTCAAAGGCATGGCATCAACGGCCACATCAATTTTATAATAATAACAACAGCAGCAGCAACAACAACATCATCTCTCAACCACATTAACACATCAACATCTATACATATTTGTATATAATATTTTGTTGTTGTTTTATTTAAGTACAAAATAAAACGGTTTAAGACTGATAAGCGGGACCCGTCGACTGTATGCCCATACGAATATACATATTGTTGCTCTGGCTGGCATTAATATTTGCTTACAAAACTTTTGTATAGAACAAATGTCTATACGAAGTGTACGTATATACCACACACCCATACATATCAATTAAATGTACACAATATATACAGATGGCAAAAATATTCCCCCTACGTCTAAACCAAACATATATATATATACATCTGTACATGAACGCATACAGTGACAAGAGGCAAAGCCGTCTCTTGGTGTATAAGCACTATGGAGAGAAACTCGACTTTATATATGCATAATATCTATGTATATGAGGCATATGTGCTAACCACGGCGATCATCAACAACATCGTCATCCGTAAGTAAATTACAACAGCAACAAAGCCAGTCAAGCAAATAAATGAAGCTGAACCAAAAAATTATGGCATAACGCAATTGAGTGACGGACGACGAGACGTTTTAAACTTGCATCGAATAAATATGCGTATGCGCATGTTTATGTACGAATATTTGGACCAAAAAATATAGCGAGAATAGCACAAAAATGTAAACGCAAAGAAACAAAAAAAGAAAACATAATGCACCACACAAGGGGATGTTTAAATAAATACAGTTATGATCGTGCACACCGTTTATTTGTATGTTTGTTTACTTGCTTTTGCGACTATATGTGCTGCAATGCTATGCTCTACACGCGAATATGGCAATTCTCGATAATGTGCAATAAAACCTAGATACACATGCATACGAATATATATATGTATATGTACACATACGTATTAAGCGAATATGGGGAAAAAAGCCAGGGTTAAAAGCAATGTGATAAAGAATCGCGTTTGTTGCTGCATTCGTTGTTGTTCTTATTATTATTGCTATAGCCGTTGCCGTTGCTATTGCCATTTCTGCTTCTCGGTTTTACTTACTTTTGCAATAAAGCTGAGACACTAAAAGAGATGGTGAGAGACAAAATGCCAAAGTAGACAGTGATAACGTTGCACACGTCTGCTGCGTATATAACGGAAGCCAAATTGAAACTACCGCATGTGTCACATTGTGGATGAGCTCGGTCGGTCGGTCGGCCGGACGGTCAATCGGTTTCTTTTGATATATTGAAAAAAAATTTACTTTTTGTCTTCTTTTTTGTTTTTTGTGTTTTGTTTTCCGTAGCATACGGAAAAACATAAGCAAATGGCTGAGTGCTTTCCGATTACTTTCGCATCTATGGAATAAAAGCAAAGCCATGTTTATAATCAAAAATATGAATAATAGTTGAATGTGAAAAGAATTTTCAAGAAAAAGCGTTTACACATACATTCTTTTTGGCATAATTTATTAATCAATTTAACTTACACTGAGTCTTATTAATATTGGGTTTTTTTCCATTGTCCATTGTCCAAATATGAAAATTTTGTTTTCTATTTTATACTACTAGGAAATATATATTGAAATTTAAAAAAAAAAACAAACAAAACGTTATTCGAGTACACAAGAAAATTAAATAACTTCACCAACTCATAACTTATAATTTTTCTTGTGTAGGAAACAGATGTAGGATCTTACACCATTTTTATTATTATAGTCTATATTTCAGGTCTTGGACGGAACAGATTGAGTGTTTTCGCACACGGCGGTCTAATCCAACCCACACATTTTTGATGGGGTTCATGACTGGTGATTGGGGACGAGAGTGAAGCACTTTGGGCCAGTTGCATAAGAGCCATTCTTGAATTAAACGGGACTTATGCATGAAGTCGATATCTTGGTAGAATTTGAATGTTTCCAAAATATCAAGTTTGTCCGCACTCTCTTTCAAATCTTCCTTCAATATCCTTAAGTAACTCCCCTTGTTTAGAATGTCACCCATAAACACCAATTTTCCGACTCCCTTGGCTCCAATGCATGTCCAATTTGTATGATAGCCATTTTAGCCGCTATTACTGGTCTTTTTTGCAACAATGCTTCATTCAATTTGTTCAATTGACATCAATAGGTATCTGCAGTAACAGTTCTAACCGGATTTAGGAGCTCGTAACACACTACACCTTACTCATCCCATCATGTGCACTGCAAAACGTTCTGGCCATTAACATTCTGTTTCAATGTCGAAGGTGAATGGCGCCTCTGGACAAACCCCGGACTTTTTGGAGTTGTGGTTTGCCGCTTGGGATTGTCTTGGTAGATTCACTTTTCATCGCCAGCCACAATACGCCACCAAACACTCTTTTTGTTTTGCTTGGCAGCCAATGAATCTGCCATGTTGAAACCGTTAGAAATGGCATTTTAAGTCAATTTGCGAGGTAGCCGATTTCCCTCCTTTTGAGCCTCTCTCATCCCAATTAGACGTCTCGAAACAGTTGATTCGTCAATTGCTAAGCTGATTGAAAATTCCTCGAGAGCTGGAGCTCTCGTTCAATAAGTTTTGCAAGTCATTGTCTTGGAACGTTTTTAGTCTTCCAAGCCGTTCTTTCTCATTGACATCAAAATCACCATTTTTAAACCGTTGAACCTAAAAGCAACAATTGCGATATGACGGAATGGCATCACCATAAGCTTCTTTAAGCGTTTGTAGAACTTCCGTAGCGGATTTCTCAAATCAGACCATAAAACTAATGAATGTCGGAAATGCAATCTCGAGCGTTGCATCAATACCATCCTTATACACTGCACGACTTAATAATACTAAACGGAAAAATGTTATTTTATGTGTGCATCTTAGCATTCGAGTCGATCATAAATACAATTTCGAGAATCACGCGCAACTACATTACATCTACGAAAATAGCAAGAAGAAAAAAAATGTTTGACGTTATTAGTATGACCTGTAAAGAACCAAGTCAATATGAAAGCATAAATATTCATTCACGTCCTTTCGTGGCCCATATTGCTTTATATTATATCAAAGCAACAAAGAAATAAACTCTAGAGGTTGCATTCATTAAACTATTAACATTTTTTTTAATTTAAAAAATAATTCTTATTCTATTCAATACATGTTTGAAATCAAATGCAACATAACAGATATTATTTAAATAAGTAAACATGTAAAAGATTTATAGGAATTATGTAATAAATAACGCATAATTATGACACCAGAAACAGAAATAACTTTGCTTTGCAAACGTTACAAAATGTATTTTATTTCGGTTTGATGATGGCATTTAACATTTTTGATGGTCTTTGAATTTTTTGGTTCTCCAGGCGGGTTTTTTTTTTTTTTGTCATTGACATTAGGAGTACTACTTTTAAATGATTGAAGCCAAACCCGATAATTGGAATATGATAGAGCAGCATCATAATAAGCTTCTGAATGAATGTCGAAAATGCAATTTTGAGGGTTCCATGATTAGCGTTGGCGCACGCTGAATAAACCAATGATATTAAATGGGAAAACGTTAATTTATATAAAGAAAGGTCAAAATAGTCGAGTTTAATCGGTATGTATACGGATATCTCCCATTTCTTTATCGTTTTTATCTGCAGAAGTCGCTCACTAAAATATAAGGGAACACCTAATATGTTAGGCTTTGGTCTTAGCTTACCTATATCCGATGACATAGTTTGTTTCTATGTGTTATGTTATAGTTAAGCAATAAGATGGGCTTACCTAACCCAATACGTTTACAGTTCAGAATGAGAGGAACTTTTTTAAAGTATTTTTTTTCGTGATAAATTTATAATAGAATGTAATAATGTTTTTGATTTTTCTTTGCAGGGGCGGCTCTCATGCCGTTGAACACAATGTACCACCTTTGGGCTTAAATCTTAGTGCCTTTGCTCAGCACATGAATAGTGCCAGTAGTTATAGCAGTAGCAGCAATAATAATAATAATAATAACAACAACAATAGTAACAATAACACCAACAATAACAATTCCAATAGAACAAATTTTAAATTGAATTCAACTTTGCAAAATTCCTTCAGTGAGGCAGCATTAAATTTATCAAAATGTTCGTCTGCATTAAATATGAGTGGTAATGGCGGTACCGGTGCCGGCAGTGGTGGCAGTGATTATTATTATAATTTTCTTAAATCTGAGTTAGATCTATCGCAGCAACAATTACAGCATCACCATCAACAGCAACAACAACAACATAATGGTACAACCATTACCGCAAACGGTATTGGCGGCGTAACGCCGTCATCAGGTAATCTGAACATACCACCAGCTCATCAGAATTCCCACAATGACAGCCGTGTGTCGTCGACACGTAATGATACAACACACCATACTAACTACGATGACATAGAAAATTCGTCGATGCGTAGTGGAGATGAAGAAGCTTCATCATTGCGTAATGCAGCCTCTAGTAATCAAGAGTCCGATGAGGTAGAAGAACTGGAGGCCATAGATGCTGATTTCCCTTACCCTCTGATATTGAATTCAAATTCACCTTGCAGTAATGTGGGTGGACAAACAACAAACCATAACAACAATAAACGTCGACGAAAACATTTACAAAGCGGGGGCGCCGAAGACAGTGATATCGACGATGATGATGATGATTATGAAGGACAAATGATGCAGCAACATCGCCATTTGAGAGCGCAAAATGTTGCCAATCTGGACGCGAATGGTATGGTGCCTGGTATGGATATATTGCAGCCACAACAAACTGTCAGAGAAGTATTGAATTCCAAATTTTGCGGTTTCATATCGGCCAAATTAAATAGTATGGAAGATACGGAAGCAGATAATCTTATGAATAAAATACTCATGCTATTAGTACAGACGCAAACAAATAGCGGCGACGTCAAATAACTATATTAATGATTATATATAAGTGCCATCTATATTACATAACTATATTTAAATGAAGACATTATTTTCTATATTTTAAATTATATTTTTA